AAATGCCTTTGAAATGCTGTACTGCACAATAGCTAGTCCTCAATTCGCTGGTAGAAGATACTTTAGGAGGCTTGTTTAGAAGCCCTTAGGAAGGCCTCAATATCTACCAATATATCTAACTACCACACTCATCATGTTAGAAGAAAATCTAAAACATAATCTAGTAGCTTCCGAGCCTTTCAGCAGAAATAAAAGGGACTATTCTACTATCAGGCAGGCAGACACTGGAAAATGTGGGAAGAATGGCAGGGAAATCTATGAAGCTTCTGGTGTTGTCCAGAGCTTTTCAGTCAACTCAGAGCCTTCATAATATAATCTCACTTGGTTTATTTCTTTCCGCAGTAAGGAAAGACAAGCCCTCTCTCTTCCATAGACTCAGGAAGAAATGGCTAAGAGTACTCAAGCCAGTATTCTTCTTGGATCTACTAATGAAACAAACTAACTCCATGTGAGAAACAATCCATTCCGAACTCAGCACTGAAGTAGAAACAGCACTCCAGAAGTATAATGTGAAAAGAGGATACATTTTTTTTCAGTCGGGGTTTTGCTCGTTACCCAGGCTGGAGTACAGTGGCGCGATCTAGGCTCACCGCAACCTCCGCCTCCCGGGTTCAAGCAATTCTCTTGCCTCAGCCTCCCGAGTAGCTGGGACTACAGGTACGCACCACCATGCCCAGCTAATTTTTGTATTTTTAGTAGAGATGGGGTTTCACCTTGTTGACCAGGATGGTCTCGATCTCTTGACCTCGTGATCCACCCGCCTCGGCCTCCCAAAGTGCTGGGATTATAGGCATGAGCCACTGCACCCGGCCAAGAGGATACATTTTTAAAAGTGCTGTTCAATTTTTATTTCCAGTACTGCCTCGCACATAGAAGGTGCGCAAATATTGAAGAAGTAATGTCTGAAGGAATAAACATACAAATAAGAGACTCAATGCTATAATATCAAGATTCTCAAAAACATCAGTACTGGAGGGGTTCCTAGAGTTTACCCATCACTGGTACAGCTCCATCACGACAAGCTAGAGAGACAGAAGGTCTGATAAAAGGACTAGCCTAAAGACCCACTTCATTTTACTCACTTTACTGAGGACAGGAGAGATATTCTTCTTACATGGAAAGAGAAGAAAAATTCTCAGTTCAGTGTTGCTTACCATTTCCCAGCACCCACTTTCCAAATTCATGGAATCCTGAGCTAACCCTCCAAAGCGACAACTTCTACACCACAAATTAGAACCTAGACTTGAAAAGTTTTTCAGCTCTATAAAGCATGAAATGGGAGGAGGGACAGACAGAAAGCCAGTAAATCCTGAAAAGACCACCCCATTCACTTGAACCAATAGACTACCCCAAAGACGACCACATTTGGACCCTGTTTTTTCCCCTTTGCAAGCAAAGTAATAGAGCAGGTGGCAGGGGAAAAAAAAGATTGTGAGTTAGGAAAGAGGCACATGATAAATTCAAGTCTATCTTTGAAAGATCAGAGACAAGACTGTTTCCAATCTGTAACAATGCCAAATTTCCAGCAGCTATGGTTATGAAAAGCCTAACTCTGGTAGTGTTGGTCGCCAGATCTTCTCCCCTCTGGGACCGTGAGTCTAGAAATTCCAGTGGGGGAAACTCTCAGAAAGATACAAAGGGACCTAAGACAGGCTGTTGCCATGCAACACTAGAACAGAGTTCAGAATAATTGTAGCTGTCATATTATCTCATCCAGAGAGAATTAGATTTGGAGGCAGGGGAATAGACTAGATGACTTCCAAATATCCTTTCCGGCTACATCATTCAGTAAAGCAGTTCCATTGGAGGAGGAGGTAAGAGGAAAGAAAGAACACCACCCTAAAACAAGCTACTGTTTGCAGGCAGCTAGAGAATGGAAAGTTAGATTAGTGGTCAATACTACTTCTATCACTGACTCAAAGAGCAATCTTTCCCTCTCCAAGCCTAACACGAGAGAGTATTAGATTAGTTGGTGTGGGTCCCACAAAGGCCTTCCTGCCCCACCAGCCCCCTGCCTACCCAGAGGGCTATTCAAAGTAAAGCCTAAAGGAAATTCCCAAGATGGTTCCTGCTCTGTCTGTATCGTCTACACTTTCACAAAGGGCCAAGTGAACTTCAGAATCAAAGTGAGAAGATGGCAGAATCCTCTCTCACACAACCTCTATTCCTGATCCTTTTTCCCACCCTGAAGTCTGCAGGCATGGCTGGTTCAAGGGTTAAAAGACTGAGGTTCTGGCTCCTATTTACCAAGTACCACTTTAGTGCCACTCGAGTGGCTCAAGCAATGCTAGGAATGGCAGGAGAATAAACAATCCACATAGCCCCTGTTAAAGTTTAGCTGAATGCTGACCTAGACACCTTCAAATACTTCAAGAAGCTAGGCTCTATGTCTGCTCACATTGATGGTCCCATCAAATGACAGTTGATTACCTTTCCCTTGATCTGTTATCTGTGGCTAAAACCCCAGCAGATCAAAGAGGTGTTTCACCAAGACTGACGCTCTAAGACCTAGATTCAAGTCCTAGTTTTGCAACTGGCATACTGCATCACTCTAGGTTAGTCTCCCCATAACATGGACTTCAGTTTCATCATCTATACAATGATAGGAATCGGACTTTATAGTTGTGGAGAGCCTTTTCAATGCTAAATTTAATAAATCCCAAAAAAGGAAACCAGAAACTCAAGGACATCTTGAAAATTCACAACACCCTCTTTTTTTTTTTTTAGGAAATCCAAGAGAGCCTTACAGCCTTTGTGATCTTAAAAGAAAAAAAATTAAAGAAGGTAGTGAGGGGAAAGGCCTTTTTAAATATATATAACTGTCATCATCATCAGAAGATATACATGGCAATTAATAAGCTTTTCCATTCTGGCTACTAAAGCAGATTCAGGAAACTGGCAACCAGAAGCAGAGTCCAAGGAATGGCAAGAAGGCAAGGGCGGTGGCGAGTAGTGAGTTGTTTTTTTGTTTTTTTTTTTGAGACAGGAGTCTCGCTCTGTCGTCCAGGCTGGGGTGCAATGGCGCAATCTTGGCTTACTGCAACCTCTGCCTCTCAGGTTCAAGCAATTCTCCAGCCTCAGACTCCTGAGTAGCTGGGATTACAGGCATGTGCCACCATGCCCGGCTAATTTTTGTGTTTTTAGTAGAGATGGGGTTTCACTATATTGGTCAGGTTGATCTCAAACTCCTGACCTCATGATCGACCAGCCTCAGCTTCCCAAAGTGTTTGGATTACAGGCATGAGCCACTGCACCCAGCCAGCATGTTTTAACAGATGTAGGGGAGGTTGGGCTGACTAGGCGGGACAATTGACTATAAAAATGAAACCGACCCTAGATGGGCTGTAGACACGCTTCATATGAATGAACGAGTTTCATTTTCCACTACCCTTCTCTATCTGTCATATGCTAGAAATAGCTTAAAGCACATCAATGAAAAGGGAGCAGGGAAAGGGAAATATTTTACCTTTTTTCATTAAAGTTACTGGGTGGTATTTAGTGAACTAGGATGCGTCCCTGAACAGCTCGACTTCGGGATGAGGAATAAGAAAAGTAACAGGAGGCACCTGGTGACACTGCTGAACCTTACCAGATGACACAAATGCCAACCTTGGCCACTTTGCTCAAATTACTCATTTCGTTTTATCTGAGGACCATAAAGTTCTGAGAACAGGGGGCAATTTGCTTGGAGCAAGAAAGAGAACTCAAATGTGAAGAACTCAATCATTGGGTCAGAATAGAGGGTCAATCAGAAGAGCATCAGAAAGCCTGTACCCCAATCTTGGCTCAGTCACCATATGCCCTTAGGTAGGTCTTTTTCTGTAGGCCTCGGTATCCTCATTAGTTTTGTTGTTGTTGTTGTTATTTGTTTTTAAAGAGAGTTGTACTAAATAGATAGTCTCCAAGGTCGCTTTCAGGTTAAGATTCTATGGCCTTAACAGACATATAGTTGTTTTTTCTAAAAGTTGACCATTCCTCGAGTCGAAGCATAGAAAATTCTCTAATGCTTCCAGTCTATCAAAATTCAGCCATCTCCTTCTGATTTAATTCAGGTTTCAGTTAATCTGCATAAAAATGCCTTCAGTATTTAGACACCTTCATTACTCCAGGCCTGACTACAGCTTATACTCCAATCTCTCTCCATTCTCAGGAAAACAATAAACACACTGTCTTGTCTTCTTTGCCACTTTGAATGAGATGAGATGATTTATGCAAGTTTGAGGCAACTTCCAGGCCCATGAAGTTGTGTTTCAAGGTGGGATATGGCAGAATTGAGGATGAGATATGCCACTACAGAAGAAAGGCCAGGAGCAATGTCTATTCCCAGAGATCCACCCAACTGTTCAGGCAAACCCACACCTTAAGAGGAGTCAGGAGTCAACCATAGAGAGAGACCCAAAAAGCCGCTCCTGACAGGATCTTTATAATCCTGTTTTGACAGACAATGGGGTATTTTCCCCTGTCTCCAAAACCATTACTCTCTCCTTGGGGGCAGGGGAGCTGGAAAGAAAGTGTGTAAAAGCCTCATGTCCTAAAACCACAAGTAATCTAAAGGAGATAGACAGTGAAAGCACACATTTTTTTAAAACTTGGTGTTTCTGAAGGACAACGTTCTGGAAAGGCAAGAATGACTTGGCAGTGAGGCTGGTATATAGTAATGTGGCACCCAAAGCTCATCACAAACCCAAAAGGCTAGGCCCCCAACTCGCCTCCTCTCATCCCAGGGGCCTTCAGCCCTTTCCAAGGCTACTAGTCACTATCTCACCTCTACAAGGCTCAAGTAGTCTTGGGGAGACATGTCTGGGAGCATTGCATTGCCTAGGCCAGCCCAACAAGCTGTTTGGCCTAAGGGACTCAAGCCAGGGTAGTCACCAGGCCTTTCTGAGCAAGGGAATGGCCCCAGCAGCCATTTGGCATGACTTGCACAAAAGCAAGCAGAGCTCATTAGTCAGGCACACCCCTCCTCCCTCCTCCCTCCTGGGCATCCGGCCCCCCTAACCCCACTCCCAGAAGGCTTCTGTTCCTCTCATAACAGCCACTGGGGTGGAGACGCATCCCCAAATCAACCACCACTCTAGAAAGGTGTGGCCCGACGAGAGAACCCACACCACACAAAATAGTCCTGCGGGTATAGGAGGAGATAGAGAGGCATTAAGCAATGGGAGAGGCAGGGATTTGCGGGTGGAGAGGAGGGAGAAACCGGTCCTCTCTCCCAGGAGATAGGGTAGGCCTCTCCTCAGTCTGGTGCCTAATGAAGTGTTGGTGCTCTCGGGTGCAGCCTCGATGACGATTTCCTCACATCTCTCTCCTTACCTCCTAGTGGAAAACAGCTGGAGCCACCCGGTGAGGCTGTGGAAAAGGTGAGTGGGGGTGTGGGATCCGCCCCAGCGGCTCCCTCCTTCCTCCCTGCTTCTGTGTTCCCAAGGCCCCTCTTGAACATTGGCAGCCTTGCCCCTGAAAGGTGCCAATTCCTGAGTTGGGGGAAGCGTTGTCTTCTGGACCAGAATCCTCTCCTCTGTGCCCATGGCCCGTCAGGGGAAAGGGGAATCCCCAAGCCCCAACGAAGCCATCCTCACTCTTGCATCTCAGACACAGGGAACTGGAACCTGAGAAAGAGGCAGGCCTCGCCCTGTCCAAACTTCCAGCCTAGACACCCCCTCAACCCCTGAGGACGCACCAGACCAGGATTCCCACTCCGGTCCCCTCCCTACCCTAGGCTATGGCGGAGGGCGCGGTGTCCCAGGCTGGCCGGTGGCTGGCCAAGCCCTCAGCCATCAGCAAAGGGCTATGAGGCTCAGCGGGAGCCCTTGGGGTCGACAGCGCCCACCCCCGCACTCACCGTTTTGGGCATGGTGGCGGCAAAGGCAGCGGAGTTAGCGAAGTTTAGCTAGGACTGTCGGGCAGTGCTGAGCACGCAGTACACACGGATTGGATTCGGGTGGCCGGGGACTCAGATTGGGTCCTCAGTAGCGTTGGGGCGACTATTCGGCTTCCTGCTAACGGGCCACGACTTCACAAACCCCACCCAGGAAAGAGCCGCCCCCGTCGCACCGCCCGCTCCTTTATGTGGCCGGGCTTCCGCGCCGCTCCCCGCCCTCGCGCCCGCCTCCCCGCCGACCGCTGGCCTTGCCCCGCCCAGCCCAGCCTGGCCCAGCCCGGCGCAGCCAGGCCACAGCGGCCACGTGGGGGGCCCGACTGGGCCCAGGCGGACCTAGCAGAGCTACCACTCCCGACCCAGACTCACCCCGCTCCTCTCCCACCCCCCTCACACCCCCTAGCCTTCCACGTCCCGGCCTTCCAGCCCCACCCCCACTCAGGGCCCAGACCCTGGGCCGCACCCTGACAGATGATTACCCCTGACTGCAACTTTCCACCGATGGGGAGCTCACTACCTATCACAGCTATCTTTTCCTTCTTAAAACAACCCTGACTCTTAAAAAGTTCTTGCATGTCGGAACTCCTTTTCTCTATGGCTTCCATGCTTGGATCTCAGCTCTGCTCCCTGAGGCCACACAGATCCCTGCTGTCCCTAACAGCTCCTCAAAGGCCTGAAGATCTCAGGTCCACAGGAAACTACGCTTCTTTTGGCTAAACTGTCTCACCTCTTCCAACACTTCATCTATTCTCTTATGTAGGACTCTCCCCATCGTATTTACTCCCCATCCTTGCTCAGTTCTCATTTCAACAGACTTGACCTCCTTCTCCCCATATCTGTTCTCTACTCTTTGCTTCCTCTAAATCCCAATCTCCACCTTCCTCAAATCAGTGCCCTGATCCTTTAGGTCCTCCCCCAGTACATTCACGTTCTGATATTCTGATGAATCTGGCTATTAATTCCCTCAGTTTAGATGTGACCTCCCTAATGCATACCCTTGACATTTGTCTGCCAGCTCCCTTTCTCCTTTTTGTCAGGATCACAGAATCCCAGGATGGCAGTATTCTAGACTGCTGCAGTCGTCTGGTCAAGTTTGAGTTTTAGGCTGAGTGCAGTGGCTCATGACTGTAATCTCAACACTTTGAGAGGCTCATGCAGGAGGATCACTTGAGCCCAGGAATTCAAGACCAGCCTGGGGAACATATCAAGACCCTCTCCTGTATCTGTACATGTAAAAGCAAAATAAGTGAGGCTGAGCGCAGTGGCTCTCACCTGTAATCCCAGCACTTTGGGAGGCCAAGGCCTGCAGATCACTTGAGGTCAACAGTTCGAGACCAGCCTGCTCAATGTGGTGAAACCCCATCTCTACTAAAAATACAAAAAAGAAAAAAAAATTAGCCAGAGGTGATGGCGCACACCTATAGTCCCAGCTACTAGGGAAGATGAGGCAGGAGAATCGCTTCCAGGAGGCAGAGACTGCAGTGAGCCAAGATTGGACCACTGCACTCCAGCCTGGGCAGCAGTGCAAGACTCCCATCTCCAAAAAAAGTAAAATAAAATAAGTCTGAGTTTTAGTTTGAAAGTGGCTCGACATAGTCCTTTTTTTCTCCTCTCCACTGGCAACCATGTGAGGGCATGGTCTGAGTATTCTTTGCGAGGTAAAGCAACACAGATGGTAAGCTGGTTTGAGACAACAGAGAGGACATTTGAGAGGTCAGGAAACCTGGCTTCTACTCATAGTTCTGCCATTAACTCATCGTGTGACCACTATGTGGCCTTGGGTAATTCCCTTCCCCTCTCTGGGCTTGAGTTTCCATTTCTGTAGCAAGAAAGGACTGGACTCCTGGGCTTCCAAGGTCCTTTCCCACTCTGACATTACGAAAGGATGAGAAAGGAAGTTGATTCCCTAGGACAATAGATGAGCCTAACAGGATTGCATATGGGCTGGTCTTGCATTTGCACTCAGGAACCAGTAGTCTTATTCCCTCCTCCTCTGCTTTCCTAGCCCAAAAGTGTCCACGATTCAATGTGCCTCAGTTTCTCTCACTGCTGACAAGATTCATTGATGTATGCTAGGGTAAACAAAGTTCCCTGCCAAGACCATTTCCTTGAGCTAAGTATTTGTTCAAAGAGCAGCAGCACTCATCGGAAAGCCCAAACAGTCTCCATGAGCAGTTGTCCCCAAGGAAGAGCAGAACTGATCAGAAAGCTTCAGCAGCAGGCAGCTGCTGGATGAGCAATGGCAGCTCATCACATTCCTTAATACTGCCATAGGTCCTTTTTTACCAGAAGTTCAAGGAACTCAACTGATTCCTTCACTCATGTTCACCTAGCCCCCACTGGGACCTGGCACAAAGCTAAATGCCTAAAAACAAAGAAGTTGGTTGTTGACTCCAACTTTCTGGAAAGTGGAAACTCTGTTTCATTCCCCACCTCCCATGCCAACTACTCCCCACAACACACATACACAGGGGAGAGTTGGGTAAAGAGTTTCAAGCAGCTGAACACATTACTGAAAGAGAAATGGGGTGTTGTGGCTCACACCTGTAATCCCAGCACTTTGGGAAGCCGAGGCAGATGGATCACTTGAGGTCAGGAGTTCAAGACCAGTCTGGCCAACATGGTAAAACCCCATTTCTACTAAAAATACAAAAATCAGCTGGGTGTGGTGACTTGGGCCTGTAATCCCAGGTACTCGAGAGACTGTGGCAGGAGATTCCCTTGAACCCAGGAGCCAGAGGCTGCAGTGAGCACAGAGAGCATGCCACTGGACTCCAGCCAGGGTGACCAGTGAGACTCCGTTTAAAAAAAAAAAAGAAAGGTGGCATAGAAGTCCAAGCAGGGTTAGGGGGTATCAGAGGCTGGGGGAGCTAAGGAAATAGGGGGAAAGAGGAGCTGAAGGAGGAAGATGAGGCTGGACCTCTGGGGAGGAGAGGATGGGAAACAGAGGGAGAGACTAAATCAGAGACTAGCTAGTCCAGCCCTCACTCCAGGTCAGGGGAATTGGGGATCAGAAAGAGGAAAGGACTTACCCAAGGCCAGACAGCTAATGTAGAGAAGACAAAGAGCTCAGTTCAGAAACTCTGACAATAGTACAAGCAAGAAATTTTTAAATTTTTTTTCTCAAGATTTATTTTCAATACAGGGAGTACATGTACATGTTTGTTACATGGTTATATTGCACTCTGGTAGTGAGCATAGTACTCAATAGGAAGTTTTGCAACCCATGTCCTCCTCCCTTCCACCTCTAGTAGTTTTCAGTGTCTACTATGCCCATGTTTACGTCTGTAGGTGCTCAGTGTAAAGCTCCCACTTATAAATGAGAACATGTGATATTAGGCTTTCTGTTCCTGCACTAATTCACTTAGGATTACAGCCTCCTGTTCCATCCATGTTGCTACTAAGGACATGATTTTATTCTTTTATTCTTTTCTTTTTTCTTTTTTTTTTTTATGAGACAGAGTTTCACTCTTGTTGCCCAGGCTGGAGTGCAATGGCGCAATTTCGGCTCACCACAACCTCTGCCTCCCAGGTTCAAGTGATTCTCCTGCCTCAACCCCCCGAATAGCTGGGATTAGAGGCATGTCGCACCATGCCATGCTAACTTTTTTTTGTGTGTGTGGAGATGGGGTTTCTCCATGCTGGTTAGGCTGGTCTCAAACTCCTGACATCACGTGATCCACCCGCCTTGACCTCCCAAAGTGCTGGGATTACAGGCATGAGCCACCACACCTGTCCTCTTTGTGGTTATTGTAAATGCAGTTGTGTTCTTGAGAAAGACTGGTACCAGTCCTACTGAAACTATTCTTAAAAAAAATTGAAGATGGCTGGGTGCGGTGGCTCATGCCTATAATCCCAGCACTTTGGGAGGCTGAGGCAAGCAGATCACAAGGTCAAGAGATTGAGACCATCCTGGCCGACATGGTGAAACCCCATCTCTAATAAAAATACAAAATATTAGCTGGGCGTGGTGGTGCATGCCTGCAGTCCCAGCTACTCAGGAGACTGAGACAGTAGGATCCCTTGAACCCAGGAGGCAGAGGTCGCAGTGAGCCAAGATCACGCCACTGCACTCCAGCTTGGTGACACAGTGAGACTCGATCTAAAAAAAAATTTGAGGAAGTGGAGCTCCTCGTTAACTCATTATGTGAAGCCAGCATCAGCCTAATACCAAAATCTGGCAGAGACACCACAAAAAAAAGAAAACTCCAGGCCAATATCCCTGATGAGCATAGATGCAAAAATTCTTAACAAAACAGTGCAGACGAATCCAGAAGTTAATATGCCATGATCAATCGGCTTCATTCCTAGAGTGTAAGGCTGGTTCGACATATACAAATCAATAAATGTGATTCACCACATACACAGAATTAAAAAAAATATGATCACCTCAATAGATACAGAAAAAGTTTTCAGTAAAATCCAGTTCCCCGTTATGATAAAAATCCTCAACAAATTGGACATCAAAAGAATATACCACAAAATAATAAGAGCCAATTATAGATTACTCAAACCTGCAATCCCAGCACTTTGAGAAGCCAAGGCAGTCAGATCATTGAAGTCAGGAGTTCGAGACCAGCCTGGCCAACATGGTGAAACTATATCTGTATTAAAAATACAAAAATAAGCCAGGTGTGATGGCAGGCACCTGTAATCCCAACTACTTGGAAGGCTGAGGCAAGAGAATCACTTCAACTCAAGAAGCAGAGTTTGCAGTGAGCTGAGATCACACCACTGCACTCCAGCCTGGGCGACAGAGCAATACTTCATCTAAAAAAAAAAAAATCGAGCCATCTATCACAAACCCACAGCTAACATCATACTGAAAAGCTGAAAGCCTTTGCCCTAACGAACTGGAACAAGACAAGGATGCCCAGTCTCACCACTCCTATTCAACATAGTACTGGAAGTCCTGGCCAGAGCAATCAGGCAAGAGAAAGAAATAAAAGGCATCCAAATAGGAAAAGAAGAAGTCAAGCTATCTCTCTTTGCTGATGATATGATTCTATACCTAGAAAACCACATAATTGCTGCCCAAAGGCTCCTAGATCTGATAAACAGCTTCAGCAAAGTTGCAGAATACAAAATCAATGTACAAAATCAGTAACATTTCTATGCATCAATAATGTTCAGGCTGAGAGTCAAATCAATAAAGCAATACATTTTGAGGGCTAGAACAAGAGAATTCATGCCTTCCTCCCCACTTCACCAAACAGAAGCTGGTTATGGTGATTGTGGTCAATAGCTAGACATTGTTTGGGGGCTTTTGGCTAGGAGGGACTTATCTCAGTTAATGCCCCTGTCTCCAGAGCAGAGCAGAGGCAGCTGAGGTGCTATCTTGTTCTTCAAATGGCACTGAAACAGCTTTGTTTTTTACCTCTTTGTAAACTACTTCATGCCTATATTGCCCAAACTTCTGAAATTCCCCCTACCCTACCCGCTACTGTGATTCTATTTGTACTGAGAGTTAGATCAGTCATCCTGGGACCAGAGTAATATCCATGAGTAGGTTTAGATCTGATGAAATTTATGTCAGTGTTTCCAGAGAGAAGACATAGAAATAAGTGCTATATATTCACACATAGGTTGGTTACTCTGTGAGAGGAAAGTAAGGAGTATGAAGAGATTTGGGTTTTTAAACAAGCTAAATTCAGAAAGTTCTAAGAGAGACAGGCAAGTCTTTTTCAAGCAGTACAGCTAATGAGGGCCAATATGAGCAGAGGTGGTACAGGGACATTCTGGAGCTGGAGTCCAAGGAAACTGGGGGCATCTGAATCAGTGGGCAGGAGACGCAAAAGAAGACTTGATCAGGGCTTTAGGGTCAGACTTGGGGTCCAGTTGGAAAGGCTCAGGATTCCTTGAGGGCTGGGAATGTTCTGGAGCTGCACCAAGTCTAGACATCAAAGTCAAGGGAACGGCAAGCAAGAACTGCATGAAGCTGATTTATGTGATGCTGGGAGTGGTGGCACATGACTGTAATCACAACACTTTGGGAAGCCAAGGTGGGCGGATCAGTTGAGGCCAGGAGTTCAAGACCAGCCTGGCCAACATGGTGAACCTCATCTCTACTAAAAATACAAAAAGTTAGTCGGACGTGGTGGTGCACAGCTGTGGTCCCAGCTACTAGGGAGGATGAGGCAAGAGGATCGCTTGAACCTGGGAGGCAGAGGTTACAGTGAGCCAAGATCACACCATTGCACTCCAGCCTAGGCAACAGAGTAAGATTCTATCTCAAAAAAAGGAAAAGAAGGAAAAGAAAAGAAAAATCAAGCTGATTTATATGAAAGTCTATGTCCAAGCTCAAGAGAGAAATGAAATTGGACATTTAATTATCTGCACATATTTTGTTCCCATTCTAGATGTAAGTTCACTGCAATAAAGAAGCTTCTGCATTTCAGGTGGCATTTCTCCTTCAGGGGATGCAGTGCAGTGCAGAAGAGGTAATACCAGAGACAAACTGGATGGGGAGCAGTCTTAAATCCTAGGGATACTTTGCAAAAAGAGTCCCCCACCCCAACAATTTATAGAATGGTAGCAATTGAAAGTTCCCTATCACTCAAAACTTTCTGAGGGCTGCTTTCC